ATTAGGCCTCCCTTTATTAATAAAAATATTTCAATAAATTATAATTTTAATTTTATTCATTTCAGTCAAAAAAAATTTTGTCTAAGAAAATTCGACAACTTCTAAAAAATTACAATTCTTGATTAATAGAATTTCGAGTTAAATTCCATTCAGTTTCTCAAGACAAGAATTTTATCAAAATGGTGCATCTACAATTTAATTTGCGTCCAGACATTGATGTTTTTCTTTCATTTGACTAAATTTAAATCAAATTATGCTCAAAAATCTGCATTTTTTGCATCATATCTCTACCACATCGATAAAATCGTGGTCAAACTCATTTCTCATTGTGTTTTTTTTTATCATCGTTGGTGACCTTTCCCCAACCCTCCTGTCACTCCAATTACTTGGCAAAAGTAAACACATCTCTTATAATACCATAATAGTCGGTCCCACCTCATCCGGTTTTTGCACGTGACCAATCGAAAATAATTAAACTTACTGTCGTAATCTGCATAAGATGGCGCTGCTGAAGTAACTGTCGCCACCACAATCATGATGCAAGTGACGGCGCACAAACATTTCATCGCTGAAAATCTTTGCATCGTTTTCTGAAACAAAAAAGAAGAAGAAAAAATAAACAATAAAACTCGCCAAATGCCTTGTTTGTGTTCGATTATTATTATTAGAACACAATCGTATAATCCTTGATGATTTAAAAACAAAATAGCATCGATACGAATAATAAGTAAATAACAAACACAATAAGATTAGATTGGTAACACTGTCACAAAATTGAAATTCATTTGTTTTGTCACGAATGAAAACGAAGCCTTAAATAAAATCAAGTGAAGGAAAATATGTTTTGCGATGTTAATGCCGTATAAATGCCGCCATTGTGTTACCGGGTTTCCATTTTGTTTGTTTTTTTTTAAGTTGGTAATGGATGTTTTGATAAACACGACGACTTTATCGACGTGGTTTTACTTTTTTCACAAATAATTTTATATTATTATTTTGTAGTTGTATTTCATGGATAAAGTAACTCATTTATTAGACTTTAGAATTTTTCATTGCATCAAGAATGAAAAAATCACTGAAGCGTAAAAATTTATCGACGTGGTAGTACCCAAAAAACTCCAATCTGAAATGTTTAAAAAAAAATCATTTACTACATTTTTATTGTAATTAGGCTGAAATGAAATGTTGAAATGAAAATACCAAGACTTTATTGACATGATATTACTGTAGTGTTTTATTTAAAAAATGACTACTTTATCAAAATAAAAGTTTGCAAATTAAATGAAAACAAACAATTAAACTTTTATTGAATTGGTAGAGCTGTACGATATATATCAAGACTTTATTGACATGGTAGTACTACAATCTCTTATAATCTAAATTTAGGGTTTTTTGCCAATAAAAGTTTAGTTATTTTTCGTATTATTGTCAAAATTCTAGTCCCACCGTATCGATAAAATATTTACAATTCCTTTAAAAAATCAATTTTCTAGTTCTACTTCTTGATAAAGTGGTTGGTTTTTTATGTTTTGACAAAAAGGAGAATATTTTTTTTTTATTTAGTAGTCACTTTGTTTCGTTTTGCTTGTTTTTATGTAGAAATTGTTTAAAACACTTTATTAATTAAAGATTCACCATACCAATAAAGTAGTGGCCATTTTTATCCCAATTTAATAAAAATCATACAACGAAACTAATAAAGTCGTATCCGATTGCATAAAAAAAACACAAAAAAATTTAGAGAAAGATTTTATTAACGCGGAATTACTATATGTTTTAAAAACAAAAATATTTCCGAATTTTTAATATTTTAAATGAATTTTTTCTAGTCCTACCACGTTAATAAAGCAGTTTTACTAAATTCTTTTGATAAAAAGTAGTCCTATCATATCGATAAATAAAATAACAGATATTTTAATAGTTTATTAATTATAGAAAAACCAC